GGTAAGTATTTCTGTCTCATACACTCTACTGTGCACATGTTGTAGTCCGCTGCAGCTAAACCGGAGCTGTTAAAGGTCCAGTGTGTAACATTGAGGAGGATCTATTGTCAGAAATGTGAAATAATATTAATATATATGTTTTTATTAGTGTTGTTTCTCCTTCCGTTGGTTGCAGTCTGCAGCGTCACTGTTCGATGCCACTGACTCCTACATGGTCCTTTAAAGAGCGGCGGGGCAAAGCTGCAAGTTCTGATTCCTCAATTACTGACAGCGGACGGACGGACGGCGGGCTGCGGAGAGTGGTTTATCGGGGCCCGGGGATTTGGACGGTATTAGTGTAATCTTCCTCTCTGTGACCAACAGGTCCGCTCATCATCTTTCCAATACATCCCCACTTCATCCTACAGATGAGAATAAACAATGTCACATCTGGGCCGCAGCACGCTCCTGATGCAGCCTCAGCGTCAGACAATAACCTGTTTCCCTCTCTGCTGCGGAGCTTTTATATGTGATACCTTTACATTTCTGTCCTCAGCTGGTGGTTTATAGACTTTAATCCAACATAATCACCATAAAGTCACCCGGCTGGTTCAAAATGTACAGCACATCTTCTTTAAGTGTCTTTCTACACAATGTCCATGTTTATTCTGTTTATTTCAATGTGTTTTTATATTTTCTTCCCATTTTAAAACTCCAGATGAAAGATTATCACACTTTATTATTATTAATATTATTATTAAACATATACAATCTATAAATAACCCTGGAGATCAACACCCCTCCGCCTGCAATCAGTCCAATCTGTCCAGTCTAATTCTCGGCTGTGTGGCCCAGTTCAGCTTCAATCTCTTAAAGCTCCCCTCATCAGCCCCGATAGCCCCCTCCCACAGCCCTGCCGCTGCATGGTGAATAATTGACCAGCTCTCCCTCCCCTCTCCTCTCCTCTCTGTGTCTCTTTCCATCCTCTCTCTGTCTTCGTGGTGTCGCTCGTCGGTGTTCTCCGGGCCGTGACAACCCTCCCTCCCTCGCCTCCATCATGTCCAGTGTTCACCTGCTGCCGGCTGCACGTTGACGACCGCCAGCAGGTAAAACAGACGGGAACACGGGAGCAGCTGCTGGTAAGACACATCCTAACACATTAGGTTAGCACAGGGAGGCTTTGTGGAGTGTTTCCACCTCCAAACACTCACAGGAAATCAAACAGCTGCTGCTTTTATCTCCTCTGTATCTGCTCCTTCTTTCTTGAGAGGATTCTCCTGAGTTTGGGAAAGAAAAGGGAATCTTTGTTCAGGCTCTCCTGAGAAATAAGAGAAGAAAAGAGTAAATTAAAAGTCTTTATTTGTTGGATTTCTTACTGGTTTAAACACAGACTGGTTGGAAGTTTTATTACGTCCATCCTGAAGCTGCGATCAGACAGAAACCGGTTGGTTCGTGTCTGTAGAGGAAACCATTTCTAAAAGTTCTAACATTGGACTTTAATGGTTCAACAGAGAATCTCACAGGAAGCCAGTTTACAAACATTATCATTTCTGTTTTACAGGAAAACTTAAAGTTTTTATTATATATTATATTCAGTGTGTAACAGCAACCGACAGTGAACACAATAACTGAAGGAGCAACTGCTGTCAATATTGATCAGAGATGTTTTTAGGAACTTTTTATATAATTCTCTGACTGTATTATGTATTTTTATCATTATGAACAATCACACAGACTTCATGTGCTGCTTTTTGGACAGATTCAGTGTTTTCTTATCGTTCTATCAGCTCTTTGGTTGTTTGAATCTTTCTAATTCAGTACGAGGTCGTTGATCAGAGAGTGAATATAACTTCAGGTCCCAAAGTTTAGATCTTAAAGACGAACTCCACCCCTCTGTATCTGCTGAAACCTCTAGATCTGGGTGTTTACTAGTGCTGTTGATGGTGGGGAGCAGATTTTAGGGGTTTAGTTACACTTTAAAGAATAAATCAAAACTATAAAAACTTCAAAAATGAACAAAATGCAACAATATTGGCCAACTGTGTATATTTTATACCCTCAGGTTGGGAACCACTGCTGTATGAGTAACTGTCAGTCCTGCAGTAAAGAGAAATAAAGCTGATGTGTGTTGATGTGGAAACCTTTTGCTTAATTGTTTTTGGAGCCTTTTGTTCATCAGCATCAATCAGTGTGAGAGGATCTACTGTGGGGGGGGGATCCAGTGTGGGGGTCAGTTTGGGACTCGTCTCTGTGGTTGTTTTCAGAGAGCTGTGGAGCCATGAAGGAGTTCCTGTTCCTCCTCCTGGTGATGGCGGAGGCGTCCTTCAGGTCCAACAGCAGCAGGTGCGAGCCGGGCTGCGACTGCCGAGGAGATCTGAGGTTCACCATCTGCTCTCGGGCGCTCTTCACCCGGCTTCCCGCCAGAGTCCCGCCCACCACGGAGCTCCTGGACCTGTCCGACAACAACATCTCCGTCATCCCAGAACGCTCCTTCGGGAAAAACCGCAAGCTCCGCGTCCTCCTGCTGCAGAACAACAACATCAGCGTGGTGGAGGACGCCGGATTCTCTCAGCTGGAGTTCCTGCAGAAACTGGACCTGAGCTGGAACCGGATCTCCACCCTGACTGAAGGGTTCTCCATCGGCCTGGCCTCCCTGAGGGAACTGAAGCTCTCCCACAACTGCCTCACGACCCTGGACAGCCGGACCTTCCTGCACCTGGACGGCCTCCAGAGGTTGAACCTGACCTGCAACACCATCCACGCCATCCAGGTGAGGTCGTTCTCCTCCATGAGCTCCCTGCGCCAACTCCACCTGGAGCACAACCAGCTGACGTCCCTGAAGAGCGGGATCTTCTCCATGCTGCGCTCCCTGGAGCTCCTCAACCTGGCCGGGAACCAGATCAACGAGACGGAGGTGGGCGTCTTCAAGCCGCTCACCAGCATGACGTTGCTCAACCTGGCGTCCAACCGGCTGTCCACCGTCCACTTCCAGACGTTCGTGAGCATCCACACCTACAGCACGCACATCCTGCTGGAGGGGAACCCCTGGAACTGCGACTGCGACCTGCAGAGAGTTTTCCGGAAGCTGCGGAGCATCCAGAGGCTCTTCCTGGACGACTACTACAACCTGACCTGCAAGGAGCCGGCGGTCCTCGAGGACTACCGGCTGATGGACGTGGACACGGAGCTGTGCCTCGCCGAGACGGTCACCGTGCTCATCATCACCATCACCGTGGTGATAACCGTGCTGGCCGCCATGCTGATGGGCGAGAGGAAGAGGAAGAAGAAGAAGCAGGAGAAGCACTGGACGCAGCAGGGAGAGCTGTCAGACGAGTCGGACTACTGAAGTCAGTCCAGGTCCTGTCTCTGTCTCTGTCTCTGTCTCTGTTCACTCTTTATATTCTGCATTTAAACTTCTCCGACAGTTGTTATAAATATCTGTTCATAGTAAAAACACTTTAATTATATTAAAGTTACCTGTTATATTAAATGAAAGGTTTATTTTCTCATATTAAATCTGTTTATGGTGCAGATAATGTTCCTGATTAAATGGGATGATGTGATTGTGTCTCATGTCTCTTTTTAGATAAACTTGATCACATTAAAACACAGAAACACACCAACTGTGTGGAACATGAGGCTCCAGCGCCGCCTGCTGGTCAGCAGCTGGGTCCGCAGCTGAAAGCATTTATTTATTTTTTATTTCATGTTGTTGAAGCAGCACATGGGTGGGGTTGGTTGTTTCCTGCCACTGCAGCCGATCAGCTCCTCTCAGTTTATACGGATGTGAAAGATTATTTACATTTTAAAATCCACAATTACAGGAAAATGTTTTTAACTATGATGATTGTGTATTAATGCAGCTGTAAATACGTCTTCTGTCTAATTCTCTATATCAAAATAGATGATTGCTTTGATTATTTTTGTATCAAAATGTGACAAAATAAGAGTTTATAACACTTCTAACATTATATTTTAGAGCCATCCAAAATTACTAAAATAAAATGTGTACAAATCCTAATAGTGCTGTAATGTGACAGTTTAATAGATGAATAGTATTATAGTCCCTGCAGTGTCCCCATTATCAGTGTATGGAGTTTAATGTTGTTTATTATTATTTAATGTGTTATTTGTATCCTCTATTGTTCCCTTTGGGGCCTCCTACCACCGCTCTGGAGTCGGCATTATATTTGAATATGTGATTAATGGAAGTTTCCCCTTTAATGGAGCTACTGGAGACTGTAGGCGGTGTCGCTCTGCTGAGACAAGCCGCCACAATTTAGCACTATAGTGCTACCGGATACTGACAAAATAAAAGCATAGCATTTGTCTGCATTAATTACTTGATTCATCTTTTGTCTAAAAATAGAAAATAATGTAGATTTTTGTTTATTTTCAGAACTCAAAGAGTCATAATTAAATAAATGTATAGTTTAATTTATTTTGTGTTACTCAACCTAAATCAATTTACTGTTACAGGACAAATAAAAGCTTTAAATGCACCTACAAGTAGAATTAAACAATTTAGTGAACAGGATCGTTTTTAATGGGGATGAACTATATTTCTTAAAAATAAAGTTCCTAAAAGAGTCTGAAAAACAAAGAATGTGTGGCTACGCTCTAGTAAACATATAATTATCTAGAAGACTATAAAGGTTGATAAAGCCATATCATGTTATATACATCATATATATTTATATGATAAATCATCCCATCACTTTGGGTTTAAAACATCCATCTACAGAAGCCGATTGCATTCACATGAGAAAGAAAATCAACTTAATATGTCATAATTATAGAATAATTTATATTTAATGAAACTGTATCTTATTATTATTATTATTATTATTATTATTACATAATAAGTCGTTAATTTGGGTGTTATTTTCCAAGTGAATGCAACACGCTTAAATATACAATAACAAAGCGTTTTATTTTGTAAGCGCCGACCGGAAGCGGCAGCGTCCATCACGACGGACTTGCCGTGTGTGTGTGTGTGTGTGTGTGTGTGTGTGTGTGTGTGTGTGTGTGTGTGTGTGTGTGTGTGTGTGTGTGTGTGTGAACAGGTGGACGCTCCGGTCCGACGGGCTGCTGTTGTTCTCAATACAAAGAGAGACGATCCGGAGAGAAACGCTTCAGTCTGCGGCTCCAACGGCTCCAACGGCTCTAACGGCTCCAACGGCTCCAACGGCTCTTTCAGTCGGTCTGTGTGAGAAGATGTCGGACGGAGGAACTGCGCAGTCATAGTTTAATGGAGCTGTAACCTGAACAGGTAACAAACTGTTTTATTATTTCTTGTTCAGAGACTTTAACTCGGTCGTTAATCTCCCGCCTGTTCAAACGGCTCGTTTCTGCTTCTTCATCACTGCCGCCATTTTATCTAATTTACCCTTTTTTTTCCTTCTAAAACGGGAATTTTTAGTTTTACGTGTAAAATAAAGCAGCTTTGTTTAAGAGGACAATTACTTCCGCGTCGGGCTGACAGTCAGTGACAGACAGCCGGGTTCAGACGGTGGTCCGCGGACCTGCAGCGGTCGGTGGAGCCTCATCTGTCCGGATGTTTCATTAAAGTCCGTTTTAATAAAAGGAAAACTCTTTTATTATTATAATATAATAATAATTCCTCCCTGCCAACAGTAATTAGTTACATTAATAGTTACTCCAAACACAACTGTTAATTGTTTGTGTGTTTAAATTAAAGTAAAGGGAATATTTCCATCAGGACATATTTGGGCTTTTATTGTCTTAAATCGACAACAGGAAATAATATCACACTGGAAAACCAGTTAAAGTCCAGTTTAATTAATCGAAGATTGTTGGATTTTAAGTTCAAACAAAAGTAATATTATTACTGAAATGTATAATTAGTTAATTGTAATAAAATATAAATACGCTTTAATGTGACACATTAATGCTTTATAATACAATCAGTGTCTCAGTACGATGATGTTGTAACGTTTGTCGGTCAGTTGAAGCCTCATTTGGTTACTGAACGCCGGCGCCGCCACGCCTCACAGCCGCTCTCATTTCCTTATCTTCCAGATATGGCAGCTGACGACAAGGTCGCCATCCTGACGGACGACGAGGAGGAGCAGAAGAGGAAGTATGTGTTGGCCGATCCGTTCAGCAGCCGGTCCACGGAGCAGCAGGCCGGCGTGTCTGCGGCGCCGGCGCCCGCCTCAGACGGGCCACCAGAACAGCCGGCGCCCTCGAGCCCCGACTCCATGGACTGCTGCGAGAGGATGTGCCTCCGCATCAACAGCCACCTCCTCATCTCCAAAGTCTTCTACTTCTTCTTCTACGCTGCGTACGGCTCGCTGCACCCCCTGCTGGCGGTGTACTACAAGCAGCTCGGGTTGTCGGCGAGCCGCAGCGGGCTGCTCGTGGGCATCCGATACTTCATCGAGTTCTGCAGCGCCCCCTTCTGGGGCGTGGTGGCGGACCGCTTCAAGAAGGGCAAAGCCGTCCTGCTGTTTTCTGTCCTGTGCTGGTTGGTGTTCAACTGCGGCATCGGCTTCGTCAAACCGGCTGAGATGACGTGCGTGGAGAAAGATGTCGCCCCGACGACGACGGAGGCGCCGGCGATGACGACTCTGCCGCTCCAGAACGTCACGCAGTTCATCAACTCCACCAACCACACCAGGATCCGCCGGAGCTTTCTAGACCTCCCTGGTTTTCCTGAACTCATTGCCTCGTCTTTCAGCGTGCTGGAGAGACACGAGCGAAGCGTGGACGCCAACGCGACTTCGGCGGCTCCCTTCAAGCCGGCAAACACCACCCAGCACACGCCAAACACCACCATCCCCACCACGACCACCACCACCACCACCACCACCACCTCCCCTCTTCGGCCCCAAATCGTCTTCAACAAGGACCAGGTGGAGCGCATCTTCCTGATCATCCTGCTCGTGGTCATCGTTGGCGAGTTCTTCAGCGCTCCCGCCGTCACCATCGTGGACACCGTCACCCTGCAGTACCTCGGCAAAGCTCGCGACCGCTACGGGCTGCAGAGGATGTGGGGCTCGCTCGGTTGGGGTCTGGCCATGCTGCTGGTGGGCATCTGGATCGACCACACACACGTCAAAGTCATAATCGATATGTGCGTCGTGCCCGAATTCCGCCTCCACAACTATCAGATCGCCTTCATCACGTTTGGCGTGCTGATGGCCGTGGCGTTCATCGTTGCCACTCAGTTTTACTTTGAAAAAAGCACCGACTACCGGCAGGAGCTTCCAGAGGGGGTGGTGGCGGAGACCCCGAGGGCGTTACCCGAGTCCTCGGAGCAGACTCCCATCGGCCCCGACGCCGCTGAGGAGTTCCACTACAGCGACCTGCTGAAGCTCCTCTGCAGCGCTCGCTACAGCTCCGTCCTCTTCGTCGCCTGGTTCATGGGCTTCGGCTACGGCTTCGTCTTCACCTTCCTGTACTGGCACTTAGAGGACCTGGGCGGGACCACCACCCTGTTCGGGGTCTGCTCCATCCTGAGCCACATCTCAGAGCTCGCCTTCTACTTCACCAGCCACAAGTTCATCGAGCTGGTCGGACACATCAGGTAAGACTCTCACCGCGGCGGGAACCGGCACAAACGCAACCGAAACCAGCACACGACACAACTCTCAGCCTCTGACCCGGAGTCTTCAGGTCATCGTGGTTTTCACACTACGTGACTGATCAGCAGCAGGAAGTCAAACACCACAAGATCTCTCACAGAGATAATGAGAATTAGTTTCATTAATAACGAGCACGTCACGATTAATGAGGGAAGTAGTTTAAAAACAGGCACACAAAGGGCAACCATTTACACATCGGTAATCAATACACACACATTATTAAAGCATTAATCCAACTGATACCGTCAGACAACCTTATCAGACTTTAGTGTTTCTGTAGTGGAGACAGAACGTTAACAATGATCCATATCAGCAGTTTGAATCCAACTAAAAGCTCCCTGCACCAAACTCCCTTTAAGAAATATCACATTTTAACAATTCCTAACGTGTTCGTAACAACACGTAACTCTAGAAACACGAGCTAAAGGCCGTCACATGTCCACAGTCTGACTGTCAATACGGGATCAATATAACCCATACAGATACAGTACTGATCAATATGACCCATACAGATACAGTACTGATCAATATGACCCATACAGATACAGTACTGATCAATATGACCCATACAGATACAGTACTGATCAATATGACCCATACAGATACAGATACAGAGTATTCTGTACAGATATGAATACATGTTGTTGCCTCTGTTGTGTCTCTCAGTGTTTTACATCCAGAGACTGAAAATCAGAACTACAATCTCATCGTCTACTTCCTGGTGTTGTGACCTCGTTTGCCTCCAGGGAATCACTCTCAGGGTCACAGTAAATAATCGTACAGCGTGCAGTTCCTCAGACGGCCTCCACTCTGAACGTCTGAGACAATGGCGCCTTTGACTCTCTGGGTTTCTGTCCGAGGGCCCTTCGGGGGGTCGGCGCTCTCAGGCGGCGGTGACATTCGAGAGCGCGGTGTTAGATTTCAGCATCGGTCGCTCAAAAGAAACACACCTCTGCTGCTGACTGCTGCACGGAGTCCACAGGAGTTACACTAAATACAGCTGCTGGTGCTGATATTTATTAACCTCCTCACTAACACGGAGGAACTGGATGTTGAGTCTCTGGTGTCGACTTGTGTTCTCTATTTTTAGAAGCCTGAGAAGATAAAAATAGCTTCACAGGAAAGTTTTTTGTGCAGTTTTTCTCTCCAGTTTCTATCTTATTAATCATCCGGCTGGGTGTGTCTTCTGCACGTTGCTCAGCGTCTCATTGCAGGCCGATTGTTCCAGGAAATAACTGAAGCGTTTCTTTTAAAACCCCGCGTACATTTGTGAGGTTTATTTAAAGATTTACATCTTCAGTAGCTGCGAGCTGCACACAGGAAGTCAGAAAGTATCTTAGAGACCGTCAACATCAAGTTCTCATCCTTCAACTGTTTGAATAAAAGTAAACACTTTAAACACTTTAAGGATTTTCTTGCTTTGTAACAACTTCACAGACAATAAATCGATTATTGGATCAATATTAAAGGAACAGAAATCACAGCAGACACATAATAATAGATTTATTCCTGCAGCTCCGTCTTCTAATAAAGTTTGTATTCTATAGTGTGTGTGTGTGTGTGTGTGTGTGTGTGTGTGTGTGTGTGTGTGTGCGCGCTCAGTAAACCCTCTGTGGATGAACAAACAGTAAAATAATCCCGTGTGCTGATGAGCAAATGTTTTGAGGGTGTGCCAGGTTCAGGTGTGTTTGTCGAAGACGCTCAGCAAACAGCAGAAAGTGTCAGGAGGAGCTGGTTCCTCGGGAGTAACGGAGAAACCGGTCCATGTGAACACCACAGAAGAAGATTTCATTGCACATTAGATTTTAAAGTCATTTCTCCTGTTTGCTGATAATAGTTATATTTTCTGCTGTCAGGTAATGAAACATAAAGACTCTGCTCCGTCTCCCCTCAGGGTTCTGTACATCGGCCTGGCCTGTAACACCGCTCGCTACCTGTACATCTCCTACCTGCAGAACGCCTGGACCGTGCTGCCCATGGAGGTCCTTCAAGGTAACGTGCACTCATTCCTCTTTCAGGAAGGACTCTGTGGAAGCTAGGACCCTGGGGACGCGGCAGGAACCTGGGTGTGTTTGTCTAACCGGACGCTTATCAGACGGCCTCCTTCCTCCGACCGCCTGGCTCGCCGCTGACAGTGCAGCGAGAGGCGGCTGTAGTTCAGACGCTGGCGGGTTTATGAACTTTGTGCCTGAACAGGACACGTTACTGTAGTTAGCGTCGTTCACAGTAATCCCAGAGTTCCCCCAGAACCTCAAACGACCTCCAGCAGAACCCGGAAACGTTGAGAACCCTAAAGTTTTATGTTAGAAATGAACAGTTTGGGTCCCCAGCATCTGGAAACTGCCACATGTTGACTTGTTTAATAATCAGCTTTATGGGCAGAGAGGTTTTAGAGCTGAATCCATTTCTGAAGTGGCAGTTTGAACCGGTTGAACTGATTCAGTTTGAATCCATTTTTAGGTTGTTTACATGCTCAGAAAGTGATCAGCAGATGGATCAATAATGACAGTAATCAATAGTTTCAGTCCTGTGGTTCAAAGTGAGCTCCACCTCAACCAACTGCAACAATTCAATCTAAATATATTGTTTATAACAGCAGTCACATGGGACGTTTGAGTACTTTAACAGCAGAATATTGATGTAACACTGATGGGAGGATGAGATTAAAATAAATAGAAGAGAAGATGTGAAATAGAAATGAAAGTAGAGTTGTTGTTAAACTATAAAGACATAAATGAGGAACTGTTTGTTTGAGCTGTCCGCCCTGAGGAAACACTGACGCCTCACAGAACCAACACAAAACTACGTCAGTTCTTTGAGCTCGTTCAGTTTCCACCCTGAACCAGTAACAGTTCAACACCAACGCACAGCAGAGCCCGCAGTTACCTCCGTACAGCTGCTGCGAGGAGGCGCTGTGGTCACGTGACACGTTTGGTTTCAGGCCTCAGACAGGAAGCTGAACTGTTGGCAACACAAAAGCGTGAGTGCAGCTTTAAATTGTACAGATCTTTTTAAAAGACTATATTGGGATATATGGGACTGTCAGTTTAGGAGACTCTGATGGGTGTGGTTCAGGTTTTGAGGGATGCAGTCTGTGAATCAGTTTATGGATCAATGTCACACAGATCATCGTTCATTAAGGAAATAAAACCACAATACTGGATCATTTAGGCAGGTAGAGCTGCCAATAACTCCACAGTGCCCCCTGGTGCTCAATAAATGATCAGTTATAATATTATATCAATTAAATCAGTTATTATAATACAAATATTTATCTCAAGTGAAATTAAAGGTGGATATTTGCATTTTTATAATATATTTGAAATTGCTGATTAATGTTGAGTCACTAAAATGTTGGAAAAAGCCTCATATAGTTTATAATTATATTAAATTACTGTGATGACACTATAGCAGCGCCTTCAGTGTAACATACAATAAAATCTGAAAGCCTAAATCTCAAAACCTGAAGGAATTGTAACTTCTTTTATAAAAGTTCAGCTTTACAAGTAGACATGAAACATAGAAACTGATCCCAGTTACAAGACATGTTCAAATAAAAGGAAGAGTAAGAACACAACATGGGCCAAAACTATGTATCTTAAAGAAGGAGCTCTGAACAAAGCAGTGTTGTGTCTGTGTTAATAATAGAACCACTGTTGAATCATATTTCACTTTGTGGTCTGTTGTGATCTCAGTTTCAGTAACCCTGAGAAATAAAGTGTGATTTTTACCACTGAAACTGGAGCCAAAGCACTGGGAGACAAACACGGAGACTCTCAGCTGTTCGCTCAAACACTGAATTCTTACCGAACGTTTGTCCACATACCGCCTCTGTATCCGACCATAGCTGATATTGATGAGACAACGTGTTGTGAAGGATTCTTGGTCGTTGTGATACAACGTAAATACTGTCTTTCAAGGTCTTTAACGCTTTAATTTACCGGAGCTTATCTGCTGGTTCGCTGTGACTGTGTCTGTTACAGTCAGAAGAGATAAAACAGATTTATCTCACTAACATTTGCTGTAAATTATCATAAAAAATAAATAACCAAACGATTGCATTCAAGATGTCGTTCTCTTCCGGCTGTGACCCTCGTCTCTCCTCGTGCGTCCTCCAGGTGTGACCCACGCCTCAGTTTGGGCAGCCTGTATCTCCTTCCTGAGCGCCGCGGTCCCGCCGGCCCTGAGGACGTCGGCGCAGGGCATCCTGCAGGGCCTCCACCTCGGCCTGGGCCGCGGCTGTGGAGCCATGGTGGGAGGAGTGTTCGTCAACTACTTTGGTGATTACTTTAACGACCTAATTATTGATATTTAATGTTGATCCTGAGCAACTGTAATTATTGATTCCTCATTAGTGTAACAAGCCAGTGTTAAATGATTATAATAGCGTCACACACAGTTTATATTAAATGACTTCAGTGTAACGCAGCAGCTGAAGATGGATCAACCTACAAACTCTCAGCTGTTTTACAACCTGTTGATAAACCATAAAACAACTCCTGGCTACGAGGCCAGGGTCAGTGAATAATGCAGTTGTGTTGAGATATTAAAGGATGTAATTCACAGGCGCTGCAGAGACCTTCAGAGGGATCGGCATGGCCTCCCTCATCATCCTCTTCATCTTCGCCTTCATCCAGTGTCTCACTGGAGAGACAGAGGGGAAAGGTGGGACAACCTTCACTCCCTCTTTAACTGTTTTATATTTAACACAATAACACAGGTAGAGCAGCAGTTATGTGCTTATTAATTAATGTAATGAAACCTAATTTTCTTTCTTATCACATTAAATCTTTTTTATTGTTTGCATGTTTAAAAAGTTGAATCCTCAAATATCATTTTAAAATGTTTAACCTAGAAGATAACTTAATAATTAGATTCTCGTCTTTGAAATGAATAAACCTCAGTGAAATCTCGTTATTAAATGTTAAATTTGCTGTAATGTGTAAAGATGTAAAGATAAAACAGCAGCAAACGCGACTGAACCGACTCCCACAATGAACGTATGACAGGATATAAAATAATAATCTTAAAATAAACATTTCATTATGTTGAAATTCAGCTTACAGTCACTTTGATTTCTCTCCTCATCCTCCCTCAGAGGACAAAATGCTGGCTGAGAACATCCCCGTCCCCTCCAGCCCGGTCCCCATCGCCACCATCGACCTGGTGCAGAGCCAGAACGCCGCCGGCAGCCCCGCCGTGGTTCGCCAGAACGCCGTGCTGCCTGTCAAGAAGACCAAACACCAGGAGGAGCAGGAGGACGTGAGCAGGCCGGCCTGGGTGCTCTCTGGTGCCCCCTGGGTCACCATCGCCTTCGCCATCCTCCAGGTCAGGGAGATGATGAAGATGGCGAAGGACGGCGGACTGCCTCCAGAGACTCATCCACTGCAGGTGAACACAGACAGACAGACAGACAGACAGACACAGACAGACAGACAGGGACTCCTTTACTGTTTCTGAGTAAACAGATTTATTTGATTCAATAATAACAATAACAGCTGATAAACTGAACAATGAATGAATCAGTTTTCCTCTTTATACAATTCTCTCTCTGTGTATTTATTTATTTTATTTATATTTCTTTTTTTGGACATACTCCGTGTTTTCTTCTCGCTGACGCTGTGTTCTGTTATCAGAGAGTGAAGCTCTGTGAAGTTTAGACCACAAATAATAATATTAACTTTAAAAATAACAAGTTTTCATACATAAATAAATAACATGGCCAGTGAGTCTACACACACACGCACACACACACACACGTACACACGTACAGTGTCTGTAATGAGCGATAAATAATACTAATAAAACTAATATCCACAGATATGATCAGTAATCAGATCCTTGGATTAAAGCTTGGCTCCTTCTGAGTGAGAAAATGATACAAAATCTTTATTTTAAAACCGTTTTAGATTATTTTTGTATGTTTTAAGGTGGAAATAGACGGTGTGTTTTCTATTGTTTCACCATTATTTCTTTATCAACCAGTGTGTGCAGTGAAAAGACTTAAAAACACACCTGAAAGTACCACTTCTGATAAAATAAAGAAATTATGTTAAACAATAGAAAACTCTGCACTGTATAATAATAATAATAATAATAATAATAACAATCTTTTCCATCTGTTGTGTCAGACGGTTGAATGACTGTGTCGGAAATGTTTCTTTACCTCAGACTAACCTGAACTCTCTGACACTTCCTCCTCTAACCGGCTGCCCACACACACGCTGAAGAAAGGTGAGGCGTTCGCGTGTGCCAAGGTCGATGGAAAACTACCGTGTGTGTGCGTGGGGCTGACAGGGTTTCCTCTCTCTCTCTGTGTGTGTGTGTGTGTGTGTGTGTGTGTGTGTGTGTGTTGATGCATGTGGAGATAACAGTGACTCATCTATACCTCTCTGTGTGTGTGTGTGTGTGTGTGTGTGTGTGTGTGTTGATGGGGAGTATGTGGGCGTGTACATGCATGCGTTCTCCCTCCCGCGCCCTGTTTCATGACGTCGTTTGAGGTGCATGCATGCCTGAATGAGTCTGCGGTGACGTAACCTCCGACCCCGCCCTCCGGTGGCCGCGGTGGGGATCTCAATCGAGGCTGAGGATGCAGACAGAATAGTGCAGCTGATGAAGTCAGACATCGAGGGAAGTTGTGTTTAAGATCTTTAAGTCAGAGTTTAGTGCAGCCAGTTAGCATCCTAGATAACACAGCTAGTAGAAGCTAACCCGTTATCATTGTATTAAAGGTTTTTATTAGCTAGCAGCTACATTTTGTATCCGGTTTGTGGTTAAATAGAGTTAATTAAACAGCTATAAAACGTTCCTGGTGCCAGATGTGTGCTTGGAAATATGTGCCTGCTAATCTGGCAGCGTGTCAACTATCACTGTTTGTTCCTCTGGTTGCCAGGTACCCGGTGAGCAGGCGTCGGCTGAGTACAAGGCGGTGGCGACGGCAAACAGAAACCCGAGCGACGACGGCTCAGATCCACCAGCCTCGTCCTCTGAAAACGCCACCCACCCGGCACGCACAGACTCTTACGAGGACAAAGACCAAACGCGCCCATCCTCAGACGGAGGGGGGCCTCGAGATAACCCAGCATTCACAGCAGAAAGCACAGGATGAATGTGCCTTCAGAAACTCTAACTTACACACACTAAGCTTCAAACTCTGTGTTACTGCAAGAAAATCCATCGTAAAAGTGTCGGTTTGTCTTGAATTAGCCTTTAAATCGGAGTCTGTGCAGCTCTCGTCGAGTACTTCGTGTTAAAACACTGTATTTATATCGATTTATATGAAACATGTGGAAGGAAGAAGGAGGTAATGTCCAACGTGGGAGTTTGGGTTGAAGGTCTGGATGAACCTGGAGGTGCGTTTGATGTCGATTTCCCCTCAGAGGTGGTCGAATCCAGCTCACCTCAGAGCACTGTCCACTACATTTACTGCTCTTCCACCGGTGGACCCTTCATATAGAAAAGAATAATGTGCATCTTGTTGCGTTTATTAACTTATTTTACTTAAAAAGCTTTTAAAAAAGTGATGAAATCTGAGAAAATGTGGATTAAATTCAGCAGTTTGACTCAATAACACGCAGCGGCTCAAAAGAACACAGAAACCAACCAGCACATTTACCAGGATCCGGTATTCTGAAGAGACTTTTCCCTTGTAATACAGACCGAGCGCTGTGGATGAAAGCTCCAGAAGGAGCCAGTAAGTGGACCTTGAGTTGAGATAACGCGAAGAGATCGAAAAGATTCAACCTTTTTTTTAATGTTTTTGTGCTTTTAACAAGAGAGCAGCAGATTGATTGGATCCACAAAGGTTTTTAAATTGTTTGAGAGAAAAACAGAAAACGGTAACTAAAGGTCCACTTACTAACTTTTTCTTTGTTCGCTGAGTCGCGCTGTTTCCTCGCAGCTCTGTGGAGGTTTGAACAGTATTTTAGGAAACCTTTAATTAATCTTTTATCCGGGTTCACGTGACGGGAAGGAAAAGATTTGTGAAACTGAATTTTCAGATTTCAAAACAAAAATCTAATAATTTCTTGCGTATTTATATAATTAAGTGAAGTTTGAAGAAGTGCCTCTTTTAAACATACTGTTAATCACCATTAGTCTTCTAACTTACCATCAGATGTCAAGCAAGGAACCCTTTAGTGTCCTACACTCCTACAGAAATATCTCCAGCACACAGCGGGACTTCTTAAAGCCTGATTCCAATATTTTTGGATGGTCGCTGCCAATAGCCGACACTCTATATTTACTGTCTTTGTTTTCATGCCAAACAATTCCCAGTATTGAGTGTTTTTTTTGTGTCGTCTGGGTGGAAAAACCCTCAGAAACAGAATCAGACGATCTGTTTACAGTAAATTGAATCATTGAAAGTGTAAAGAAATTGAAATATGTGGAGGGAGCCCTTTATTACAGCCTCAGTGTACCTTAATCTTATTAAACGGACGTCTGACAAATGAGATTAACGACTGTTTGTTTTACTATCCTGATACACAACAAAACTATATTATTTAATTATATATATTTTATTCTTTAAGTTCATTTTTAAGTATAAAATCTGTCTTTAAATTGTTTATTTGCTTCACCAACGGGCAAAAAGTATTGAATTTAAAACGTTATAAACCGAGTAACTCAGTGGGTGATGTGGTTGAAAGCTCCAGAAGAGGCTAGTAAGTGGACCTTGAGTTGAGATACTTACTTCCGAGGTCATGAATGAACTTTAGTAGCTGCTCTGGAGCTTTCAGTCATGTCGCACTTCCTTCTTCAGCAGATCTGATCCATAAGAGCAATCTTAAACTAACTCAAGGTCTACTTACTGACCACGTCCTTAGGAGCTTTCAGTCGTATCACATGACCTTCCTCAGTGAGTAGCTTTCACCCAGCTGTCAACAAAGGTCAACAGACCTTTAACTGCAGTATTTTATATAATAAACTGTATATATTATGTAATAAGGTTATAATGGAGGTATTCTGCTGCATAATCACACTTTTCTTACTTTTAAGGACATTTTACTGATGATATTTCTCAGCATTATTTTCACACTGTGGTTTGGTGTCAGAGAAATGAACAAATAAAGTTACAAAATCTAAAACTGTCTGAATATTGAAGCGTTTAAATCCAACAGCATTCATGCTGCAGGCAGCTGTTGGGTATAAAAGCAGCCACTTGATGGCAGTAGCGCTCTGAGTGTGTTGGTGGATTTATGGAGGCTTAAATGGACTAAGGCAGTCTATATATGTGTGTGTGGAGGGTTATTGAGGTCGTGGTGCGCCTGCTACTGATGGGTGTGTGTGGGAGGACAGTAATAGGCTTCCTCAAAAACTAGACTGTGTGCTGTCGTAAAAAAATAAAATAAAATAACAAAATCAAAACGGTCTTGGCACACTCGGGCCCGTCTGATATCCGTGGAGAAATTTCCAGCAGCCCCTGTGCTGTCAACGCTGTTGTTTTGTCTTGCGTGGTCCCTGATAATGAACAGCGTAATAGTGTTGTTTTCCGCGATGGTGTCATGACCGCGAGCTGTCGAACGATGCTGCACATTTCAATTTAAATGACACAAAGGGTCGAGGCGAGACAGGCTTTTTATCCTCTCTGTCTCTGAGAGCTGCAGCGCTGACCTGCAATCAGTGTTGTACATGTTAATCATTCAGTTCAGTGTCTTGCTCGTGGGCACACAGTCAGTTGACACATCAGCTGTGACCTTTCTTCCACTGGACAGTCAGTTTCTTCGTCTGAATGTCACTCATCATTTTTATTTATAGATATCAGAACTACGTCAGGCTTTTAAATCCCTGTTTAGAAGGCCGTATCTCAGCTTCCTACCGCCCTGTTGGTTGGTTTTGAGCTCCTGAGCAGCAAAATGACTCAGATCTGTTAATATCTTTACATTAATGGCACAATGCTCAGGACACATCACATCCTCAGAGTCAGTTTTGTTAAGCGTACCGTCGCTATTAAAAAGCTTGACTATTATGCTAATCAGGCGCTCCTGGCCAACCGCTGCCCAGATACAACCTGAAGCTATTTATAGCGTCTCTTCCTTCACTGTGCTGAGATTGAGAGGCGAGCCAGACACCCTGAGAGGAGGCGACCTGGAGGGATCTGTTGTATCAAGGTGATGACGGCTCCTTGTGTCCTCTCAGACTCTCCGTAGAGATCAGGGACCTTTCTGAGCCAACACGAGGTGTTAAACATTACCCAGAAGTACCCTGGGGAGCTCAGTATGGCGACATGGGCTTTAGTCCTCCCACCAAAGAAAGATAATACTGTCGGTCATTGACTGTTTTTTGGCATTTTCCTTCATCTGGACAGTCCCAGCAGAGAGAGACTTAAGGTACCAAAGGAAGTTTTTCAGATTTTTGCCTTTATGTCTTCTGTACATTTGACCTCTCAGTTCCCAAACTCTGTCTACAGTAAGTTCAGGCTTTTTAGACCCCTAAAGACATTAAAGTATTCAGTATTTCACACAAAAAGAGCAAAAATTAGAGGAAAGTCTGTGAAATATTTTCTCTCTGTGTGACTTTATTTGGATCGTCCCCCTTCAGATAATTTCACCTGCTTCAGTCTGACTGTCGATGTTTCTATAAAGATCTTAATGAACATACATCACCCTAAACCAAACCTTAACCACAGCGGTTTAATATAAGAAAGCAGCTGTTGCTTCTCGTGACCCCTCAGATTAATCTTCGGACCCCTCGGAGGAGTCCTTACGCCCAGGTTGGAGACCTGTTTCAATGTTCAGGAATATAATATTGAAACATTGCTTGTTGATTGCTTGAAGACTTTTAAGATATTGAGTGTAAAAGATATCACAATCAAACACAACACGTAATATTAGTGTAATTCTTGAATAAAACTTCCTCATAACGTCATTAACGGCCATAAAACCCTTCAGATAAAACACCTAAACCTTCAGACGTGTTGTGTTTTGACTGCTTGTGGTTGTTGTGTTTTACAAGGTAGTGAAACTACTCCTCCGGCGTTTGCTCGTAACAGAAACTTGCAGACTCTTTGCCCCGCGAGGAGAACTGCTGGAGACCACCGAGCTAAATGACTAAACTGTGAGGTGTAACTGAGCAGACAACAGAGTGGGTCACGGGTTAAAGATGAGCCTGGTACTGACACCGCTCCAGAAACCCCCCAGACGACCCCACTTAGACCTCCTGCAGCGCTGCAATCAGGACCACCTGAGTCAAGTCTGAGTCAGACTAAAGACCACAGAGAGTCATGTTATTGGCAGGCTGCTGCAGACTAAATATCACATGGCGCGTTGCCTCTTAGTCCTTTTGGATTGAGACATTTGTGCCTATTTTGAAAACACATATGCTGATTTTAAGCATGACACTGAAAACATCCTGCATGGGGCTGCACGTTACCAGAACACATTTCCCTTTTTATTGCTGTGCACTTCTTTAGGGCTTTATTAAACAACTGTGATTGTCTAAAACAATCAAATAAAGATAGGAATTGAAAAAAGCTGAGAGAATGAGCCTTCAAACCCCCACTAGGTGTAGTTTCTACAACTCCCACAGCTAATTTTACTTATTTCCACAGTTTTTAATGTCTGAGTTCTGAGAGTAAAATGTATGTAAAACAATAGATAAACACATTATTACTACACTAAGTGATCATAGTGTGTCACAAACCTAATTTACTGCTAACTGAAGAATAAAATAGTTTATTATAGGGAAAAGAAAATGTAATTTCTCCCATTTCATTGATCAATATGATCAAATCTGTAGTTAGAGGCTAACATGAACTTATTTACTACATATCATATACAATATATATCATACCGGTATCTTTCTACTCGCTGAGCAGTTAGCACAGGTTATCTGATTTGTCGAGCTACAACCTTTGGAGGAAAGACAAAGGCTACGTTCAAACTGCAGGAAAAAGTGACCTGGATATGATTTTTTTTGGGTGTCTCACAAAGAAATAACTCATCATCAGAGTGATTAGTATTGTTAGACGTAGAGACGATGAAGAGGAGGCTTATTACTGTGGGATGGACTTAATGAAGTGACTTCACAGAGTAGGATAAAAGCAGTTTGAACAGCTTTTGACCTATTAATCAGGGGAAATACCCTCGCTGATGTGCATACGTAGTTACCAGATGAATTACATACATATATACATGGCTTATCTTATATAAGAATGCTTCCTGAACAGATTTTATCCAGTTGATTTATTAGCAGTTTGAAATCAATCAGCCTTTTAAGCATCTGCATGTTTGTCTGAATAATGAAAATCTGAGATCTGCTGACACACCACAGCAAGGTTTTCCACCAACAGATAATAGGTTCAGTCCACAGTAAGGACACAGTTTGTCCGTCACCATGAAACTGCAAAGATTTAACCCCGATCGTAGCGTCGTTAGCTCCTCCTGGTTTTACAGTAACATTAACAGTATCTGTGTGTAGAGCAGGACGAGCGCTGCAGAGTGAACCGCGTGCAGCAGGATAAGATATATAAGAGCAGACAGCTGTCATGGTTGGTCTGTGTCCATACAGCCTCTGTTCACACAGTGAGGACGCTGCAGTGTTACCTGTCCACATACAGCACACTCCTGCTCATGTTTGATTGGATATTCATGATTAGATAACTGAGGTTTATTCATGTTTTATCAGTGCAGGGAGGTGTGCTTCTTCATATTCATGACCATTTGTTCCACTGGACCAACGGGACGATTTACACCCAAAATCCACAGATTCAGGCTCCTGCTCAGTTTTATGACCTTCTAGTTTTTACATTTGTGGATCTATATGAGCAACAACAGTGACACAAATTATAAAAACACATATAAATAAAGGGATATTTGAGAGCTCATGTTAAAGGTCCATAGTCATATTCTCAGAACTAGAACATAATACTCGTAGGTACGTTTTCATTTGTGTATAATCACCTCAGAATGAGACGTTTTTATCTGCAGACCATGGAGGTCGCCATGCTGAACCGCTGTGTTTTTACAGTAGCCCAGAGAAACATAAAGGTTGGTGCTAAAATAATTGTTGATTGTTCCTTCTAATAATCTCCTGCCTTCCCAACAAAGAAGGGTTGATGTGACAAATGCCTCAAATTACCTTTTTTTTACTATAAATCCTTAATCCTGGGGTTCCTCAGGGAACCGTCCCGGGTCCCCTCGTGGTTTTAATCTGACGACATTAAAGGTTTGCTTTAGCGCCTTTTCCATCACAGTGTGCGAGCATGGTAATGTATTTTAAAACATCTTAAGCACATTACAAGCGTGTTACACACCATTCTGTTTGTATAATCACATTTGGAAACGACATGCATCATTATCAAGGAAGGAAATTAACATTTTCATCCACCGGCCACAATGGTTGCTGAGCGTTTCACTGCCTCGCCAGCCAAATGTGATTTTGGAAAACGGCAGAAGAGTCTCAGCAGGACGTGAGGTTTCCAGTGTTTGGCTTCAGGCTGGTGCTTCTACACCGC